TTCTATTATTGTGGATTTGAAGAAATTAACAAATTTATTAATAAAGTTTTATTAAATGAGGCATTTAACGTATTTTTCATAGCTAAAAAAATCTTTTTTTTTCTTCTTAAAAAAATCTTTCAATGAGAATGTCGCAATTACGAAGCAATAAAATTTCGTTTAAACAACAAATCAGCTTATTGCAGATAAATAGAGCCAAAATGCAAAATTACTTCGAAACTTCGAATTTTTTTTAACATTTTTTTCACCTTACGTGGCATTTTTCTCTGGCGTGCAAGTTCTGGCGCACGTGTATAAGAAAAAAAATTGTTGTTTGTCGGATTAGGACCTTAAATAAGAATCTCAAGTGATGTTTTGTGATATCTATGCCGGGAGCTTTGAGCTAAATTTGAATATCGATAAAATATTCATAAATAAAAAATACGTTTGATTCCGCTAAGCCATAGCCATAAAAATTGAGCAATTCCGCCCGGCAGGGCTCGGAAATAACCAGTTTTTATTATATTACATATCAAAAAGACCTAAGATACCATCAAGGAAGGAGAATTTTTAATTATGGATCGAAAAAATTAGTCAAAATTTCAAAAATTGAGCTTGAGCTTTCCTATAAATATTCCTCGTTGATAAAGAGAAGAGTGAAAAGCGGAGTAAACAAGAATTTACTTTAATTMATAGACTTAAAATACCCCGCTGATTATTATTTGCAAACTAGTCAAGTTTCAATTAACAATTTTGATTCATACTTGAAAATTCAGTTCAAATTTTAATTATTGGGATGCTGCTGTTACTTTACACTTATCGAGTCACTGAAGCAACATTGTATCAATTTCGGAGTGAGTGCGCGGCAAAGCCGCGAGCCCCCCCACATTTCAACGAAACACCTTGGAATCCAGATTTGACCCGACTTTTGRATGCCCCTGACCCACCTATGGTTCCTCCCGTGGCACTAACCTAGTTCTGGCAGGTGAAAATTATTTTTGATCACCCGGTATTAACAGATTATAGGTTTTGGAATAAAAAACTGATATTTCGTATTAAAAAAAGTTTAATTTTAATTATTTTTCTAACAAGGTGTTTSATAGTAAAAAAATCAATAAAAAAGCTTAAAACAAAAAAGATTTTAGGTAAAATATGCAACATATACCAATACGTAGATTGACATTAGAAAATTAACAAAAATCTTTTTTTACAACATTAAAGAATTAAAAACATAGGATTTTTTGTTTTGTTTTTGAGTTCTGCCGAATTTTTATTTTCTTAAATAGCTTTTTACAAAGGCTATTATGTACAAGTACATTTTATTCATTTTTATGGAAAAAAAAATTCATTTAACTTGTT